AAATAGTTCAGCTATTTCCTTAAATACCCCAGTACCACAAGAAAAAAAGTATGACTCAGTTCCTGAATTGATAATGACTTCACTGAAGTGCATCAGTTGGATAAGAAGATTTTTCTGTGTTGAGTTACCACACAATTTCTTGGAGAGGTATTTTAAAAAGGAAATAGTTCAGCTAATACCTAACAAAGTGTTAACACTGCGATTAAACTCAAATATTGAGGTTTTGCTTTAGAAAAAGTAACTTATACATTAAAATCTTTTCTTTTAAAAAAGAAAAAGTATTTTAAAAAGGAAATAGTTCAACTAAAGGCCATATCTCGGGTAGCTGGAAAAGTGAATATAGCCATGCATAAAGAAGAACGAGGCTGTTTTCAGGAAAAAAACACTGGTTTTTCAACTTGAATTAACACTATAATTATTAATGACAGATTTTGACAATCAAACATAAGTGGAACATATCATCCCATATGAGTATATGTAGATACAGGTATCAAATGTTTATTCACCATTTGTTTGTGTGAAGAGACCCCAAGCCATCAAGAGCTAATGCTGCAGTTATGTTAGTCAAGATTCAGCTAAAACAAAAAACAAATAAAAAGTCAAAAGCACACTACCTTCCTTTCTATGTGAATTATTGCAAAACTATTTTCTACCACTCCAAAAACACTCTTTCTTCCCAGTTCTTCTTCTTTAGTTCTGTTATGACATCACCCTGTATTAGGGACCAAATCCTCAAAGTAAATCAGTATAATCAACCCAGCAGGTAAACCTACAAATAAGAGGCACCAAGTGGTTGACCAGGCAGGTGACCAGAGTGTGTGCCATCTGAGTCATCCTCTTGTAATGTGCTGGACTCTCCTCATTTCTCCAGATCTCATTCCATTTCCACACCACTAATCCATTCAGTGAGCCTTTCCAGATGTAAGCTCTGGACCTCAGTTCCTTGGTTTCATTTTATTTAGGTCCTTGGTTTCATTTTGCTTTAGTTCATGCCGTAAGGCATATATCTAGGGTGCAGGAAGTATTTAACAAATACATTCAACTTTATGAAGATACATTCTCAAGAAGATGAAAACTAGAAAATAGCCCATGTCAGTAAAATGGACAAGGTTAGTGACTAACTAATATATTTGGCTTAAGCAAATCAGACTTTTCCGTGGAAAGTAATGAGTGGGAGAGAAAGACTCTGCCATTCTATAGGCAGAAGTCAACTCACTGGAAAGCACACATCATTCTACAATCAGCTCTGCTCCTATGGCCAGAAATATCCCTGGAGAGCAGGTAAAAGCTGAAGACTTAGAGTGGGATTTTTGGAGTCATCAGTGTCTCCACAGTTCATGAGATCTCTGTGATTTCACTTTTTCTGTTGTAAATGGGATTAAGAGTGGAACATCTCAATGTCCTCCCTCCTCGTTGATGTCTCCACTGGCTTAATGGGTCTGGGCACAGAGGTTTTCAATAGGTATGAAAAGCTCCAGCACTGATGGTAGACCTATGGCACATGTATTATTTGTTTTTCCTTTAAGAGAAAAGATTTTAATGTATAAGTTACTTTTTCTAAAGCAAAACCTCAATATTTGAGTTTAATCGCAGTGTTAACACTTTGTGATAAATATGTGGGTTTTGGGTTGCAGTTTTGACACTTGTCTCTAAAAGATTTACCATCACTGAGCTAGGGTATTGTTCACGGCATCAAATGAGGATTGATTGTCTAGGTGAGAAGAATAGTGTGTGACTTACAATAATAAGTACATTATACAATTTGTAATTTTTTCCTTTTATTAATACTACCTCTATCATTTAAATATACTATGTTGGGAAAATGTCCTTCAAAATAATCATTTCCCAGTGGTGTAGCTAGGGTTTGTGCAAGTCAGTGTGGTTCTTCAATTTGGCACCCTCCAACACATCTGAATATGTGAACCTATTTAAATAGAAAATTAAAACGATGTATAGAAAAAATGTAGATAATTTTACAATTATTTATTAAATTAAAAATGCAGTAACCTACAATGTTACTTAAAGTAGAAAACCTAAACTCTATGTACTTGAATCTTTGCCCTTTAAAATTAAGTAGATTGTTACAATATAATTTTTCTCCTGGTCAACAATGCTGCCTAAATGTATGCAGTCCAGGAGATGGAACACCCCCAGCTATGCCATCGTCATTCCCTTTGCTTTCCCCTGATATGGCAAGAGGAATATTGATCTTCTGAGTTTATTTATCTACCAGGACAGACCTTGACCAAATGAACACTTCCACTTACCCAGAGAAAATGCTGTGCTCTCACAAATTTGCCTTTCTTGTGTATAGTATGGGAATCTGCTTGTTATGTCTTCCTTGTCTCTCTATGATTACAGAATGCAGCAAAGCTGAAAAAAATTTCTGGACTCGGGAATAATAATTTATCTTTGAGCCCTGGCCTGCTTGCTAACTTTATCTCGTCCCTTTAATCATCTTGCTCTGCTCTATGCTAGACCGTATTCCATCTTGCTGGGCTGAATGAACTAAGCTTTATTTGTTGCTCATTTCCCCAGTAGGATATTCCTTTCATCTTTTCTTCACTTTAGTACACATTTTTGTCCTCTGTCCCTAGTCACTGCAATGCAAAAAGCAACAACTTTTGCTTTCTATGGAAACCAAAACTGAAGGGATATCTGCTATATTGCATGATACAAGAGAAAATCATTCAGTTCATTTACTTTTTTATGTACACATCACATTACTGACATTAAGGCAAAGCAGTTTATTTTTAATAAGCAAAGAAGATTAAAATATGTGAGAGTTGTTTCAGGTATTTGAACACCAATACAAGTTTTAAAAAGATCAATTTGGTCAAAATCAATGTGATCTTTTCTCAAACATGTATTCTCTTGAGGTATGATACCACTCCCATGTATGAGAAAATTAATCATTGGGACTATGACTGTGGTCTGGGCTCTGGGAATTAAACACAAATTATATTTAGTATTTAATTCTATTAAATTTATTGAACATACCGATAATTATGTTCAGTTCTGAAAAGAGAAAATATTGACTACATCTAAACGAATGTCTAACAGCTAAAGAGCTGAGGATTATTTCCCCATATGAAACAAAATTAAAATATTTTACACTAATAATACAAGTTAAAAATAATTTATATTCAAAATAACTTTTAGCAGTTTTGAAAGAATTAGGTATTTCATTACATTTGTATATCTTTTCATGAATTTGTAAATTTGCATATTATTTGGCTTATTAAATTTATATAATATATACAGTAACAACAATCACTATAAGTATACATGTAATTTATAAGAAGAAAATCATATGGAGAGAAATTATACTAAAATTAAAAGGAAAATACTTTTACAAAGTTGTTAATTATCAATAGCTTTTATTCTATTTTATTTTTTATTTAATTTCATTAGTACATGCTTGCAGTACATTATGTTTTCATTCCTTGTGTGGAGTTAGCATAGGTATATAACGCATCTTAATTTCTTTTTTGATCACCTTTCCTTCCCCTCCCTCTCCTCCATCCATCTCTTGATCCCCTTCCCATTTGTGAAATATGTATTTCCTTACTTGCTATTATCTCTTTTTTATTTTGCTATTTGTTTATAATTTGGGTTTCTCATATGAGAGAAACAATGTTATATTTAAACTTGTATGTTTGGTTTATTTTGCTTAGCATTATGGTTCTAAGGTGCATCCATTTTCCATAAATACCTAAAATTTATCTAAATACTATGTGTTGTTTGCACATTCTTCAGTTCATAGATATACAGACTGCTTCCAAGATTTAGCTGTAGGGCTGGGGATAGAGCTCAGCACCATAAGCACCTGCCTGGCAAGTGCAAAGTCCTGAGTTTGATTCTTGGTAACCAAAAAAATACCAATAACAAGATTTAGCTGTTATTAATCATGCTGTTATATAGTTTATAAACTATATAACAGCTCAAAAATTTTGTTTAATCATTCCTAAAACTTAAATAACATATTTAAATAATTTGATAATTTAAATAACAGACTTTCACATTTCTATGTGTAAAAGCAAAGACATCAATTCATTACATAAATATGCTATATCTATACCATTGAATTTTAATTAGGAATTCATTTAAGAAAACATATCTATCAGGTCTGGTGGCATGGGGAGGGAAGTCAATGATGAAAACAAAGTGGTTGAGAAACCTCACTCAAAATCCAAATAGAGAATACAAAAAGAAAACGAAAAACAGAAATAGAAAGTAAGGAGAGGGCATTCAGAAAATGAAGCTTGTATGTTCTCTATTTAAGTCATCTGAACAAATCAAGGTCCTCAGAGAACCCACAGGCAAAGGGTCAGGATCACACACCCACCTCAGACAGCCCAGCAGCATCAGCAGGATCCCCAATGGCCAGGCCATTTTCTGTACTGGTGGTCCTGGTGGTGCTCGCCATCATGTCATCATGCTCTCTGGCCTGCAACCTGCCTCAGACCCACAGCCAGAGGAACACGAGGGCCTTGACTCTCCTGTGACAGATGAGGAGAATCTCCACTTTCTCCTGCCTGAAGGACAGACAGGACTTCGGCTTCCCCCAGCAGTTTGATGGCAAGCACATCCAGAAGGCTCAGGTCATCTCTGCCCTCCATGAGATGACCATGCAGACCTTTAACCTCTTCAACACAGAGGACTCATCTGCTGCCTGGGACAAGAGTCTGCTGGACGCCTTCTGCACTGGCCTCCATCAGCAGCTGAATGACCTGCAGGCCTGCCTGACCCAGGAGGTGAGGCTGGAAAAGGCTCCCCTGAGGCATGAGGACTCCAGACTGGCTGTGAGGAAATACTTCCACAGGATCACTCTCCACCTGAAGGAGAAGAGGTACAGCCCTTGTGCCTGGGAAGTTGTCAGAGCAGAAATTGTGAGGTCCTTCCTTTCATCTCAAAAAATTGCAAGAAAGTTGAAGGACTAGGGAATGAGTCCTGATTTATCACGGAAATGGTTCTCATCAACTGTATCACTTTCACTATTCTGCCATTTCAAGACTCTCATTTTGGCTTTAATCATAACAATTTCATTTATGTACTCTTTTCAGGAGTACTAACCAACATTGTGTTTAGCTCTACACGGAGCTGCCCTTTCAGCTGATCTTGTAAAGATATATGAGTCTATGTATTTGTCTACTTTAATATTTATTTATTTAACTTTTTATAAGATTTAAATTATATTTGTACTCATATTATCACGTACACATTTAAATTTTGGTTAATAAAATGTGTTCTTTAAACCTATTTGATATGTCATTTTGCTATTTCACTAAATTTGTATCACAGAAAACTTCTTGTATGTTTCTATTCTTTTGAAAGACACGCCAAACTTTAGAGTGCAGTCTTATCAAAGCATGGAAGATGGTTCAAATTACTCGTCACTGTCAAACTCAAAGCATAAGGAAATCTAAGCTACTAAGCTTAGTAGAAGAGAACTCATGTAGCATATGTGAGGCTCTACTTTCATCCACAGCACTTCATAAAACTAAAAATAAAGTCACATATCCCAGATTTTTGCAGATAAAGAGACCTAAAAATATCGATCATAGTTAATATCAGTCATATGAACTGTTACACTGAAAACAAGGAAAAGCCAATAAAATTTTCTCAGGTAAAGATTCACTGAAGCCCGCTAGACCATAAAAATGAAAACCCAAAGTTGATTAGTGGCCATTAAGTCAAATGTCCAGTGCCATTTGGATGCATGACTTTGAAATATACAAGGAAATTCTTGTGTGGCCACTGAAATCCCAGCAGTGGAGGTGCTTATGTGAGGAAAGTTGAAAGAGAGAAAAAGACTCAAGCTGGGTGCTGAGGGCTATATGTCTTTACAGGGAAGGAACAGTCACAAAGAAAACAAATGTAAAAAAATCTTATATTAGAAAGATAAGACACAGTGGTGATAAAAGTGTGCTTAAGAGCTGGATGTGGTGGCACACACCTATAATCCCACAGCACTCGGGAGGCTGAGGCAGGAGGATTTCCATGAGTTCAAGGCCAGTGTAGGCTGCACAGTGAGTTCAAGGCCAGGCTGTACCACAGCAAGACCCTGTCCCAAGCAAACTAACTAACTAACTAACTAAGTGTACTTAAGAAAATAGAACTGCTTAGGAGAGGAATTTTTGGAGTCACAAAGTGTGCATTGAGTGCTTTCTTCAAGAGCACATATACTAAAAGTTTGGACAATAAAATATGGATTGAAACTGCCCACTACATTCTTTCCCTTCGTCTCACACCCTGTTCGCACAGAGCTGCATTCTGTTCACGCTCACCTGCGTTTAGGGTTTCTGCGTCCTGATTGTACTAGTAGAGTACAGCACCAGGCACCAACTCTCCTCTGCTGAAAACACCCAAACGGCTCATCAAGAACATGATTAAGATGAAGGAGTCAACTGGAGATCATGGAGGGAGGACAGAGATGATTAAAGTGTCCACCAAAAATGATAGAATCTCAGGAAATGGCCACATCAGTTGAGCTAGTTTTTCTATCAAACCATAAAATCTGAATTCTGGACTTAGAATCCTTCGGATTCTCTCCCAAAGTAGAAAGTAAAGATGACTGACGTGCATACTGAACACACAGAGATCTCCCTGAGGCGTATGAACAACAAAGGTGTTCCCAGCGTGGTTGTCACTGACACCACCTCACCTTGAATGCTACTGAAAACAGTGCATCCCAAATAATCTTAAATTCTGATCCCAGTGCAGATTCTTTTGAAAATCAACAGTGTAAAAACAATGTGAACAATGGGAGCATGGACGGGGTCTGAGTATTTGAGTAACTGAGACAGAAGAGCCTTTCTAGGAGGATACAAATTAGTAATATGTATATTGGAAGATCACAATTTCTCATGGGAAAAACCTTTGTGAATTTTTAAATATTTGTTCACTCAAAATAGAACATTGGTGGATCAATTCTCTTCCTTCCCTTGCATCCCATGCATTCTGCACTCACTTAAAAAATTGGGACCCTTCCTGAAGATTAGGACTTTCAAAGCACACTTGCATAAGTAACAAATTAGAACTCTTTACCATGAATGGAATAACAAAAGAACTATTATATCTCAGCCTGTGAACGTTCATCAAAATAATAGTGATGACTGGTCTTAAATAAATCAAATAAAAAGGAGTGGGAAAAAGAACTTCATTTCTTGTCTTAGAAAGGAAATTCCAAGGAAGCCCAGTAAAGAACCGTCATGAGCCCGCTTGCTGTGATTCCACAGGAAGCAAGCACTTTCAGCTCTGAAGGCTTTGAGACAGTATCTCAGTGCCTTGACAGCCTCTGGGGCCCTGAACCAAGCTGTGTGGCCTGGGCACACGACCTTTGCTCAGGTGGAATGAGTTGATTCTGGACCGGAAGAAAAGCTCCGTGTGACTCTGTGGGTTATTTGTGTTCGTGGACCACAGGCAGCTATGCCAATATCTCAGCAGTGACTGCATTTTTATTGCACATTTGCTAAGTGTTTGACAAGCCAAAATGATATTTAAAAGTAGCTTAAGCATCACAGGAAACACAGACACAGAGCTGTTTGGAGAATCATCTGCTTTGATGCTAAGCCTAGACAACCATGCGAGTAGGATTGCTCTCCTAGTGAAGCCAACTCCGGTTGGTTAAGTAGCCCTGTAGAGGACTACACTCAGACTTAAAACAAGTGTCAATAGAAATCTATTTTATGAAACTTAGGAATCATTTAAACCCCTAATATAGGATTTTGTTTGAGAGCCCTATTCTGGCACTTCCTCACTGGGCAACTCACCTCTCCTATGGCCTCAGTTTCTTAAACGTAGGGGTGAGCGAAAGTATTCATAGGGCTGTTGTAACAGCCAAACACATACGTTCAGAGATTGTGCGGTGTGCCTTGCGGTGAGTGAGTTATTGGTATAGAATAGCACCTTCTTATTTTTACATGCAGATCTACCTCAGAGTACTATTTGTGTGTTAAGCATTATGGAATTGTTCTACCACTTGCTAGAAAATGCTGCCCAGAGCTGGAATTCCGGGGACTTAAGGGAGAAGTCCTGGGAACCACGGAAAACCGCCTCCTCCTGTCCGCGCAGTGACCGGCGCCGACGGCCCGCGGAGCTGCGAGCCTCGGGCGCGGGGTCCGGCTGCGCGGCTTCTGTCCAGCGGAACCTCACGGGAAGAAGCTAAGTGAAATGGGCTTTCTAGGTTTGTCAAAACCTGCTGTAACAGACTCGTATCTGTGTGTTTCCGGAGTCCTATTTCGGGGGTTGTAGGGAAAGCCCCGGTTACAGTGATGTTACAAAACCTGAAAGTGAAAGGGATCCTTCCGCTACGTCTTGTTTCCCGCCGGCTCACAGACGCGGACGCGGGTTTGCGCCCCCTGCCGGCCACGCGTCACAAGAGCGAAGAACTGTGGAGCGTGCGCTTCTTCACCCGCACCGCCCGTGGGTTCTTCTCCGAAAGAAAAGCATACATAGCACTTGAATGCGGCAATTCTTTTGGCATGTGTCATTGCAAAAAAAAAAGAGAGAGAGAAAGGAAGTCTCTAGCTTAAGATAGGGCTTATCTTCTTCAGGCAATAAGCAGCTATGGCGAGAAAAGGGCTTTCATGTGCTTCCAGAACTCCAGCCTGCTGTGTGGGTCATAACTTCCTGAGAGTGCACTGACAGCCCTATGGCAGCTGCCTCTTCAGATAAGTGTTTGCTCTTTTTCAAGGAAACAGTCACTTCAGGATTCTCTGTCTTTAGCCAGGTGTAGTGGTGCACACCTGTAATACAGCACTCAGGAGGCTGAGGCAGGAGGATTGCCATGAGTTCAAGCTCAGCCTGGGCTACATAAGCAAGTTCAAGGCCAGCCTTCACTACATAGTAAGACTTGTTTAAAAAAAAGTCTCTGTCTTTGCCTTTTTTGACAAATTGATTACAATATGTCCTTAATCATAGTGGTAAGCCCCAAGGAATGTATAGGTAGAGAACTTTGTCACTGTGCAAATATAGACAGTACTTATACAACCCAGATGCATATCTTACCACACACCCAGACTATATGAAGTACCTTATGACACCTAGGCTACAAACCAATGTAACACAGTGGTATTTAAACATACTTAAGTATAGAAAAAGTATTATAAAAATATAGGGGACGGCAACTCTTAGCATATCATTGTAAGACAGAACAATTTTAGTCTTAGTGCAAGCCTCAAAATGTGTCTTGAGAAACATCCTGGCGGGTGGTAAAGAGTTAACTTTGCAGTCCTGACTTCGCCCTGGAATGCTTCTCCAAAGAAGAAGAACACCCACCTATGGCCCTGCCTGGGTTGTTTCATCCCTTCCCTGTCCCTAGATAAACATTTTAACCATAAAGGAAATGTATGGTTATCTAAAGAAGGACATATAGAACAGAGTACAGAAAGTATATGTCATTGTGGTTGGGCTCATGACTGGAGCCTGACCCAGTCACCTGGCACAGGGAAAACAAGGTGTGGCCAAGGCTGCAACATTCTAATGTTACCATGGAAACAAAAACTGTATATAAGGTGGAAACAAAGGCAGGCAGGGGCCCCACATTCCTGACCTGCTAGTCAGAGATGTGCGGTGACCGGTCTAAAATTAACAAACTCTGTTTGCCCTAAATAGAGTCCTTCAGTCTTCTGTGGCATTCAGCCCATTTGCCACTACAATAGTAGAAAGACTTTTGGAAAGGTGTGCCTGTGCAGAACGTGTACTGAACTTGCCGTGATGGAGCTGCTCTGAGTCAGTGAAAGAGTGCTGGTAAATGTGAAGACTGGGACTTCTCTGCACCCTACCGTACACTTCATACATGTTGTACACTTGGGCCACACCAAAGTTATCAGTGCAGTAAAAATTCAACCTTCATGTTCTGTAACATTCTACTTTATAACCTTTTAAATTTTTATAACTTGTGACTCTTACCATAGCACTTACCTTAAAACAGACACAC